TATCATTTTCATTTATATTTTATCACTTATTATATGTTATAATAATAACATAACACATATGATTGAATATATAATAAACATCATAATGAAATTATACATATAAATAATAAACATAAAAAGGAATAAAATATTTTTCATTAATAAAATAATATTGATTATTTTACATCATTAAATTAGACACTTTTTATTGAATATTTCTAATTTTTACAATAAAAATACATATTTTATTTCTTCTTTTCTTCTTTTATTACATCTTTGTGATTTATTATTTTTATATTCTTTCTTCTTCTACTTTCTTTTTATTCTTTTATATATTTATATTCTATTTATATTATTTGGTTTTCGTTGTTGTTTCTATTTCTTTCTTCTATTATTTATCAATTTTATATTCATTTATTCATTCTTTTTATTTCATTTTTATTAATTCTTTCATATTGTATATTTCTTTAATATTTCATTTATATATTATCAAAATATATGTTTTATTGAATTTATGTCGAACAAAATATTGAATAAATCATTATTTTCATTCTTAATTAATAATTATTTAATCAGAAATGTTGTTTATGTTTATTATATTAAATGAATATGTTGAAAGAATAGCATTGATATGTTTATTTGATTTTAAAATAAATGAATATGAAATAATAAATGAAATAAAATAATAATGATAATGAAATAGAATAATCTAATATTGAACAAATCAAATAAAGAATATATTGAATATATTATTAATGTTACATTATTATTATTTGATATTTCAATTATTAAATAATAATAAATTATTATTCATGAATATTTAATTGATTGATATTTTACAATTTCATTTTCATTTTATTTAATAAATGAAATATAAATAATAAATGAATGAATAATAATTTAATATATGAAATAATAAAAAGAAAAGAAAGATAAATAATAAAGAAATATGTTGTATTTAATACATACTATAAATTATTATCAAATATAATAATATCAAATGATGATTTATTTTTATTTCAAAATATTTTGCAACATTAAATTTTGCACTTTTTTATTGAGCTTTTTTATTTGTTGAAATAAAATTTGCATCCTTTATTTTTTTCATTCTTTTCTTCTTTTATCATCTCTTTTCTTTTATTACACTTTATCTTCTTTCTTTTTATCTTCTCTCCGTTCTACTTTTATTCTTTCTTCATCATATCAAACTTCTTACTTTCTTTTTATTCTTTTATATCTTTCTCTTCTTTTTCCATTATTTGCTTTTTTCGTTGCCTTCATTAAATTTATAATCGATGAATATCTTCATTCTATTCATCATACTTTTATTATGTCAATGGTGACCTATCTGTTGTTTACTGTGTCATGTAATTTCTTAGTGTCATACTATGACTCCACATATTTTGTGTATTTCTCTTCTTTCTGGTTCATCACATACCTATTAATTATTCATTCTTTAACATCAAGATAATGTGATTTACATCCAAATTGATTATTACTAATTTTAAATGATTCAGTATTCATGTTAAGTCTCATGTGAATAATCACAATCAATAATGAGGGAAATACTTTCATAACTAATTGCAAATAGTTAAAACTAATAAAGAGGAGAAAGAAAAACATATTTACAGGATGAGATGAATATAGATGAAATGATAATATCACAAGAAATTGTTATTACTCTATGGAATAGAAATTCATTGTGTCAATAGATTTGAAGAAAAATACAATGAATAGAAAGAAACACAATGTTTATAAACAAGTTTTCAATATAATAAACATAAATTAAATAAGAAGAGAAACAAAGAAACATGATAAGAAAGAGAAGTGACACTGAGTTGAATAATCAAATGACAAGAATTTAATACTTCGAAAGAACAGATAGACAAACTAGAAATGATTTGATATTTCATTAGATAAGTTACAATTTCTTTTTCTTTTGGTTAATAAGGAAAGAGTTCAACAAGAGAAGTAAAGGAAAAGAAGAATAAAAAGAAGTGATTGATGAAATTGAAGAGAATAAGAAAGTGAGAAATGGTGTAGATTAAGTCAATAAGAGACGAAATCAAATAAACAAAGAAAATAGATTTTATGAAAGACATCAATTCAATAGTTCAATAAGATAAACAATGATAGAAACTCCAGTAATGTGTGGATATTTGAGAGATGACAATAGACGGAAAGAATAAATGATAATCTCAGTTATATTTTCATATAATAAGACAGATTAAATCAGACTCTTCAATAAGTTCTAAGTCTAGCAGAGAGTTTCTGTCTGATACGTCTTGAGTATCTTTAAAAAAAGAAAAAAAGAAGGAAATAAAAGAAGTAATAAAAGAAGTGACTTCTAACGGTTTAGGTTTATGTCAGAAGAGAATAAGCAGGTTATTATGTTGTGAAAAGATAAGAATAATTAATAAACAAAGAAAGAAAAAGGAAATAAGAGAGAAAGAGAAGAAAATAAATTAAATGAGATGATCACGAAGTTGTTTATTGTGATCTTCATTTAGAAGAAGAATGTCATTAATTTGGTCAAGAAGGTCTAAAGAAAATTCGTCTACAACCATATTTTTCTTTGTAGTAATTTGCTTAAAAGGAAGTTCTTGATTAGCTTCAAGAAAAGTCAGAGCAAGACCCTTATAACCAATACGACCAGTTCTTCCAATCCGATGAATGTAAGTAGTGATGTCAATATTTTGAGAAGGATAAATTAAAGGAAGTTCCAGATTAATAACAAAATTAACGTCAAGAATATCAATACCACGAGCCATAACATCTGTTGTAATAAGGAAATTGATTTTATGGTTTCTAAAAGCATCAATAACTTCATCTCTAATATCATTATTACCAGCCATAAGTACAAGTGTTTGAATATTATTTTTATTTAAATAATTCATTAAGTCAATAGCTTCAGTTTTTCTATTAGTAAAAACAACAGCTTGACCACAACCAGAAAGTACAGATTCATCTTGTGAAGAAAGAATAATTTGTTTAAAAATATCAAGAATTACTTTTGGACGTTGTGATGAAGGAATATTCATATAAAGTTGACAAATAGTTAGAGGAACTTCATTTTGACGAATCAAAATATGAGAAGCATTATTTCCAATGAATTGTGTTTCTAATTTTGACATTTGGTCAGGATAAGTAGCTGAAACAAGAATTGTTTGAACATTCAAAGGAATAATTTTTTTAATTTCACAAACAGATTGATAAACAGAAAGTCCATTTGATCCTGGTGATAATTTAGTATTTAAAATAGCATCTGCTTCATCAATAACAAGAAACTTAACATTTTCTGGTTTAAATTCATTAGTTTGAAGTCCAATTTCAATAGTTTTATAAATTGAACTAGCTGTTCCAATCAGATATTGTGATTTTATATCCCCTTCATATCCTGGAAGACATAAAAGTCTTGTTACATCATCCATTAATTCTGTTAATTCATCAAAAATACTAGCTGTTTGTCTTGCTAATTCTCTAGTATTAACTATAATAATAACTTGACAAAATGGATCTTTTCTATTAATGAGTTGGAGTGTAGAAAGAAGAAATGCCATTGTTTTTCCACTTCCTGATTGAGATTGCATAACAAGATTTTTACCTTTTCTATTTATTTAATTTTCTTCTTTCCTTATTTATTTCTTTTGAAAACAAACAAAATAATTGGAATAGCATAACTTTGTATTTGTGATGGTGTAATATATCCCATTCCATTAATTCCATCAAGAATGTCTTCATTTAATTTACATTCTTGAAAACTTGTTGCTTTTCCTTCTCCACCTTTCACAATGATGTCTTCATCTTTAATAATATTGTCTGTTGCTATATTACTCATATAGAACTATTAATTCCTTCTTCTTTAAATTCTTAAACCCTTTCATTTTCTTTTTTATTATATTACTTATGCACGTTCTTAATCCCCAGAATTTCGATTTGGATATTCTCATTGACCAGCTCCAGCCTGGATTGCCTCAGCCAAACTTGCTTGACATAGACAGGGTGATTTCTATTGACACCCACTTCCCTCGTGTCTTCTCCACCGTCTTAGCAAAGCGACTAAACCTCCACAACCCGAAATGTCTTTTGTGCGACGATGACCTTAAAACACTCAAGCGTCTACGGTCAACCAAAGCCATTCATCTGCGAGGAGAATACATGGGTTGGCTTAAAGAAGTGAACAAGGAGCAAGCGGTTATTCATGGCGAGGATGCTCTAACTGACTGTCAAGACAGTGGAACAACAACGGAAAAACATGTCGTGCCAACAAATCTTCAAAACAAAGAAGTTGAGAAAGAAGCTACTCACACGACACCACAGTCTGTCATAGAAATTAAACAGGAAAATGATATAAAAGAAGATAAAAAAGAAAATGATATAAAAGAAGATAAAAAAGAAAATGATATAAAAGAAGATAAAAAAGAAAATGATATAAAAGACGAAGAAAGACAAGAAGAGTTAATTGAAAACATCGCAAATTATTATGGAGAAGAAAGTAAAATTCAGAATTATATACGAGCAAATGAGATAGAAAAAAGGAGAAGAGTAGTTGAGTTAGGAAAAGAAAAAGAAGAAGAAATAGCAATGCTAATTGGAGGAATTAGTGATGATGTGAAACAAATTGAAATCATTTCAAGAGAAATAATAGACAAGTGTAAGAAAGAAAAAGACAAACGAGAAGGGATTATTATGAAAATAATAGAAAGTATGATAAGGAATGAAGTTGTTGTCACAACGAATCCAAATAGAGTTCATGTTTATGGTGAGATAATAGGAAATATATGTTTTGAATGGAAAGAATATCGGGATAAAATTATAACGAAAATAAGAAGTATAAGTCCAGTATTTAATTCAGTTTATCCAAAAAGAAGCGATAAGAAGGAGTATGAAATGATAATGAAATATAAAAGAAATGAAAGTGATGAAAAGTATTTTAACCGAATAAGACATAGTTTTAAAATATTAACAGGAATTTTAATGAGTGAAGTAGGTGATCAAACAATATTACTTGATATTGTGATGAATGGAATGTATATGCAATATGATAATAAAGAAGTTTGTTTGGGAACAGTTGGAGATTTAATTGGAAGTATGGTTGAAATTATGCTTGATGAGTGTGGGGACAAACTAAAACATACACAATACATGACTCGTATCATTCAAACGATTAAAGAGTATTTACCTATTGCTCAAAGACATTGGGAAGGAAAAGGACCTCAAGGGGATTATGTCATGAGAAAAATTAAAGTCCTTCTCCAACGATATGAGAAGAACCTTCCGTTCAACAAGAAAGTTGTTGAATATCAAAATGAACTTGCTGCTTACAAAAAACAAATAGGTTTAGAAGCTTGTGTTTGGGAAAATACTACTCAAATTAAAGTTCTTGAATCTAACGAGATTCTCAGTAAAGACAATAGCACCACACATGGGATTGAAGAAAAACACAGTAAAAATACAGTTAATCAAGAAGAAAGTGATAAAGAAGAGTATAATAAAGAAGAAAATCCAGAGAATAAAGAAGAGGAGAATAAAGAAGAAAATCCAGAAAAGAAAGAAGAGGAGAATAAAGACAGTGCTAACACAAAAGAGAATAAAGAAGAAGAGAAGGACAAAGAAGAAGAAAAAAGAAAATTACTTGAAGAAGATCCAGAAGCTGAAGCTGATATTTATTTTAAACCAATCATTGAACTAAAAGAAGTTGAACAAAAAGAAATGGAAGAAGAAATTGTTTTTAAAGAAAGAGGAATATGTGTTAGATATGATACTGTAAATGAAGAGTTTAAAGAGCGAGGAAGAGGAGAGATTGAGATATTAAAACATCCCACAACTAAATTATCTCGTGTGATTCTTATTCGTGATCAAATCTTCAAACTTGCATGTGATCATTACATTCTGCCATACATCAAAATCAAAGAATTTCCAAATAACCGAAGAGCAATCATATATTCTGTTTATGAAGATTATGCACAAGATGAAGGAAAGAATACCATTACATTTGGTATGTGTTTCAACACGGAAGAAATTAAAGAACGATTTATCAAAACATTCAAAGAACTTCAAGAAGAAACACAACAGATAGTAAAGAATAAAGAAGAACAACAAGAAGAGGAGAATAAAGACAGTGCTAATACAAAAGAGAATAAAGAAGAAAAAACAGAAAAGAAAGAAGAAAAAACAGAAAAGAAAGAAGAAGAAAAGAAGAAAGTAAATGTAGAAGAAAAAGGAGATGATGAAGAAAGAAATAGGAAAATATTTAATTATCAAGAATTTGACATTTTTGGAGGTAAAAATCCATATGACAACATGACAACACGACAAGAAATCAAAATAAACAAAGGAAATGATATAAGAAAAGAAGAAAGTGAACGTATAAAAGAAAATACAGAAAATGTGGAAATTAAAGAAAATACAGAAAAGAAAGAAGAAGAATATAAAGAAAACACCGAATTTAAAGCATTTGATTTTTCAAATATTCTTAATAAAAAAACAGATAACAATATGGCAAGGATAAACACACAAGCAGAAGCAACATACAACAAAATAGAAGAGATAAACATAAAGAATGAATCAGAAACCCAAGAAAAGTCACAATCAATGAATATACAAGAATATGACACCCCACAACCTCACAATAACACTGAACAGAAAACCACAGAAACACCAGAAACTTATAATTTTAGTCATGAACAACCAACCACTCTTACCCAAAATGAAAATCATGAAATAACGAAAGAAGAAGAAAAAAGAAAATTACTTGAAGAAGATCCAGAAGCTGAAGCTGATATTTATTTTAAACCAATCATTGAATTGAAAGAAGTTGAACAAAAAGAAATGGAAGAAGAAATTGTTTTTAAAGAGAGAGGAATATGCGTTAGATATGATACTGTAAATGAAGAGTTTAAAGAGCGAGGAAGAGGAGAGATTGAGATATTAAAACATCCCACAACTAAATTATCTCGTGTGATTCTTATTCGTGATCAAATCTTCAAACTTGCATGTGATCATTACATTCTGCCATACATCAAAATCAAAGAATTTCCAAATAACCGAAGAGCAATCATATATTCTGTTTATGAAGATTATGCACAAGATGAAGGAAAGAATACCATTACATTTGGTATGTGTTTCAACACGGAAGAAATTAAAGAACGATTTATCAAAACATTCAAAGAACTTCAAGAAGAAACACAACAGATAGTAAACAAGAAATAAAGATAATTGAGTAGTTTTTTAAAAGAAAAAAGATGAATTAATGGGTATATTCACAAATATATATTTCAACATATTAAGAAGTGATTTATTTCAGTTTCAACAATAACATGTATTTTTATCATAGAGTTTCATTCAAAGACACTCCAATTAGAATAATAATCATCTAATATAGTATCACAAGTGAGTTTGTATAACATATTAGATATTTCATGTTTTTGAGATTATACTTTTAGTATCTTTAATCATACTGTTGTATAAATTGAGATATGTTAATGAATAACTTGTTTGTTTATCTCTCATCTCCAATTCACATAGCTTGTATTTGATAATACAAATCATATCTTAATTTTGTTATTATATTGAATATTTGATGGATATTCTTCTTAATGTAATGGTAATTAATAAAATGTACTTCTTCACATTCTTTCATCTCTTCTTTCTCTTTGACATTCTCTTCTTGCATCATTTGATTTCCCTTTTCATATTGTGCTTCTTTTTATTGTTCTTTTCATTAATCATATATAATTGTTCTTTCATTATTTATCACTTAATTCAACTGGTTTACTTGTTTATTATTTTCTTGCTTTCTATTCATTTTGTTTCTCATGAAAGAAAATACTAACTTCTCCATATCGTTGATTAAAGAATTTAGTCGTGATATATTGATGTATTGAGTTTCTTCCATTTCTTGTGATATAAATTATTAACTTCTCCTCTTTAATTCTTTAATTCTTCTTGATTCTGTATTTTTATCATTTCTTTCATTTCTATTTGCCTCATTCTTATTTTGATATTCTTTATATCTTCATTTTGGTTTATTATGACATTTATTTCTGTTATGACACTACTCTTTGTTTCTAGTGGAAGTACCGTTGAAATACTTGTGACTGTGAGAATGAATGAAATTGTGAAGAAATGAAACACACCATTCATCTTGTAGTTGTTATGATGTAATTATTATGGGAGTTTTTAATGTGATAACTGTTACATTTCTTCACTTTCAAATAACACTCATTTCAACACTTTCTTCTGTTATTTATATTTCTCATTGTTATGATTTTCTCTTCTTTGTTATTGTTTTATTTTCCTTGTGATATGCTTGTAATTCATCTTTCAATAGTAAATACAAAATCAATAAAGAAGATGAAAAAGACATGGTAAAATAAAAGTCAATCATATTTTCTTTTCAGAACAATGCATTATGATATGATGAATGAGTAATATAAGTTGGTTATGAATGATAAAGTCAATCAATAGAAGTATTTGATTAATATATTCCATTCATTAGTATTTTGTCATTGCAATAAATCATTGAAATTAATTAATGAGTTATTTATTGAGATAAACAATTTAATTTTATCAATTTTTATGGAGTTCATTCGCTTTAACTCATTGGTGATATATTGTTTTTTTCAACTCAAACAATAGAATTGGTGATGTTGATATTGTTGATAAGAAATACTTTACTACTTCTCTCATAATATACATTTTATCTTTTTTGAACTACAATTTTTTCATCTTTTTGATTCATTCTTTTTTATTTCATCTGTTCTACTTGTTCTTTCTTTTTATTATTCATACAAATAATTATTAAGTATCATTCAATCACTTTGTCATTCTTTCTTCATCATAAGATTTATCATTTAATAAATACATTCTTTGAATTAATTATCAGATATATTTCTTGTTCATCACTTCTTACTTTTACATATATTTTCATCATCACTTTATTATTATTTTGTTGTGACAGCATGTTCATGCACAATTAATTTTACATCTATTGTTTATATCACTGAATTTTGTTTTATTATTTCTTATAACTATATATTATTTGTACATTCAATTCTTCTTCTTGACTTTTAATTTCATTATTTATACTCTTATAGATTTGTCTTTGTTTCTTATTATTCAGAATTATTGTATGTCTTTTATTATAGTATTTTTGATACACTCTATATTTCATCATTCTTTTTCAATTCTTTATTATTACGATAAATTCTTTTATCACTTAATATACTAAAACTGTTAAGTATTATATGTTGTTTTATGTTCATATTCTTAATATCAATTATTCCTCATTATGATTTATCATTATTTCTTTATGTTAGACATTGAAATATTGGTATTTCAATAATTTCATCACTTTTATACCATCTTCTCCTCTATTTATCATATCATCTTTCTTCGATTATTTCTTTAATCTCTTTCACTTTTATATTCATTTTATTACTTATTGTAATTAGATCATAACATGATAACATTTGTATCATTCCTTCTTCTTGATAACTTTCCACTTTATGTTTATTTCTTTATTTCTTGCTTATTCTTTTCATGTCCTTCTATTGTTTCATTCAATCCATCTTCTATCTTTCTGTTTCTTTCCATTTCTTTCATCTCCATTGGTAAAACGTCTTTTCTTCATTCCATTAAGTTTTCCATTTGTCTTTTCCTATCAAGTTTATTACATTTATTCCTCACCATTTCAAGATTGTTCTCACCACATAAAGATTAACTATTCATGCTGAATGATAATGACACAAATTAAAATGACAATAAACACAAATAATAAAACCCATGGAAGTGAGTATTGATTTAATTTGATATGTTGGATTGGTTATATTAAAATCCATATCATAAACAACATTCAATTTCACATTTTTTTGTGTCATTATTAATGACAAGGTGTTTTAAGTCTTAAACAAAAATCACAAAAAACAAATGACAAAATAGAATAAACAATACTATTATTCATTCATTTTAAATAATAAAAGTCTACTCAAATCGTTGTATTGAGCATTTATAGGATTTTAGTATCAAATTGAATAATGAAGGATAAAGTCTGATGATAGTCTTGAAAGTATTTTAGTAATTTCTTTAATTTTTTGGTAGTGATAAACGTCATTTTGTCGGTGATGAGTTAAGAATGGCTTGTTATCAAAGGATGTGACAAGCCATTTTGTGTTTTGTTGAATATTCTTTTCTTCAGTCTTCTACGGTATGAAAGAACAAGAAAGTCATAAAAGACAGATGACGAAATAAGAAGAATAAGATGCATTGAATAATATGTTTATAGGGAGAGTCAAGTAGCCAAAAATACAGGAGAAGAAAGGAAGTGAGAAGTAAAAAAAATAAGGGATATAAAGAAAGAAGTTTAACAACGGAAAAAGATGAGTAGAAGAGAAATAAATAATGAGTAAAACAAGAAAAATATAAAAAGAGAGAAGAAAGAAATAAAAAAAGACAAAACTAAGAAAAGCAATATGGAAGAAGGAATTGATAATCCCACAATTAATGATATTGACAATCCAATAGAAGAAGAAAAGGGAATTGAATATATTTTGTTAATGGTAATATTACTATTTGGGAATGGAATGACAATATTTTGTTTAAGTAAAATGATACATAAAGCGAGAAAACAAGAAATAGAGAATTATAAGAATATTCTAGGACATATATTTTATAAACCAAAACATGCAATCCTATTAATGATAGTCAATTCAATTGGAATAGGAATATATTTTTGCTATTGTAGTTTAATTATTAGTGAAATACTTCAAATAAAAAGTAATGAAACAATAAGAAGAATGATAATAATAACAGGAATTATTTGTTCAGGAATTATATCAATCATAATAGGGAAATTAACAAAACAATGGAAAATAAAACATATCAAAACAATAGGAATATCAGCTATTAGTCAAATAGTAATAATAATAGTAATATTGAATGAAATAAATATAATAAGTATTGGAATTATAATTTTGATAATTAGTATGATGACAATAATTGGATATTATATTGGAAATCAAATCAAAGAAACAAAACAGAGTTTAATTCCAAGACCAATTCAACAACAAACATTTATTCGGTCAAATTATTTTAAAGCAATAGTTTGTGGAATTATTATCTTTTTTGTAAAGTTATGGACAATTCAAGAGAATCAAGGTAAAACAAACATGATGAAAACAAATAATTCTGGAAAACAAGTAATAATAATAATCAATAATATACTCAGTAATCTGTTGATGATATTAATAACATGGATAAGAACATTTTCCCAATTACAAATAGAGGTTTGAATTAAATTGAATAAAAATAAAAGAAAATAAGAAATAACCATTCAATAGAATTATCAATGGAGTTGGTCAAGTTGGCTCATAGGAGGAAGTTGTGGAATACTTTTAGGTTTAAGTGATAATATGATATACAATTTAAAAGATAAAGAAGAGGATATGGAAGAAATTATAGAGACAATAATGATTATTGGCATACATGAAGATAAAAGAAGTATAAAGAATCTAATATGGAAGCCAATAGCATATTCTTTAATGAATGGATGTATTTCGTATTTTGCATCATTTTTATTTGCAATTATAATATTTAAGTTCAATAAAATAAATGAAGAAGAAGAGGATAATCATAATCATTTAAATTGAAATGTTATTTTAGAAATACAAAGATGTTTTTAGATAAAACAAACAAAAACACACTTTAATATTAAAAAGATTATAAAAATTGAGTTAATTCAAAATGAGTGTTTGTATAAGGACTATCTTCCTTAGTAAATCTCTTGTCATACCATATTTCATTTAGTCCATTTCCAAATAACTCTCTATTTTCTTGTTTTCTCAACAAATTTATAGTACTAAAAGGTGCAAATAATTCATTCAAACACATTTCACAACAACCAGGCAAATAAAAATTACTAAGGTTATTAATTCCATTGTTACCAGTAGAAGAAAATTTATAATTTAATAATGCCTCAAGTTTATTTTTTTCTTCAATAAAAGATGTTGTTAAATCTGGTTCATTAGAATATTGTGTTACAAAAACAATAAAAAACACTATAATTCCTGTAGTAATGAAATTTTTGAATGGACTTAAAAAAGATAATATTCCTGATCCATCAATTTCAATACTTTCCATTCCAATTCCATTGAAATTCAACATTAACATAATCATTAAACCTCCAATAAGTATAAATTTTATATTTTTCACAATGATTTTTTTATATTTAACACTTCTTTTTCTATCTATAATATTTTTTGCATGTTTAAGTGCTTTGTTAAGATGATATTTTTGACTATGATTAAATTCAACTTGATGTAAAAATTTAATTCCTCCATATGACCATGTATTATTAAGAATTATAGAAAAGTCTTGTAAAATAAATTCAATAATATTAGAAATAATGTTAAAGATACTTCCTATAAAACTAATAATCATTTTATTATTGAAATTGATTATTAATTTTCTTTTAAATGTTTCAATAAATATAAATCTCATTTCTTCATATTCTTTTAAATATAAATAATGTTCATAACTAAATTTATTTGGTGTTGTTGTATTAATTGGTGTTGTTAAAAATATTTCTTTTGTTGTTTTATTTAAAACATTATTTAAATATTTAATAAAATATTTTGTTTGACAGACTTTTTGAATCGATTGAATTTTTATATTGTCTTGTTCAGTTTCTTTAAATACTTTTCTAAGAATAGTAGATATAACATCATCTCTAAATGATATCTTTTGTAGAAGTCGTTCTTCTATTTCTTTTTCACTTATCTCTATTTCTCCATTAAAAATATCTATTTCATTCCGAATTTTTTTCCCTTCTTCGCTATTAAGTTGATAACAAATCCATTTTGTATTATTTGCATCATCCCACTCATTATTATTGAATATTTCTTGACTTTCTTTTTGATTACAAAAATCTCTTGTAGATTTATATTTTTTAATTATTTTGATAATCCCATTACAATACTTAATATTCATAATTACAACCATAATTCCATTAATACTAAATATTAACCATCGCCACCATGTTGTAATAATTAATTTCTCACTTTTATTATAAAAATTAAAATTATAAAAACAAATTACACTAAGTATAATTGCAATAATTGAAATACGTATTATATTACTAATTTCTTTCATAATCATATACCCCATTCCATTCCCTTCCCAAAGTTTGTAGATATTTTCTATTTTAATTTTCTTTTGATTTTGACCTTTTCGTTTTCCATATTTTCTTTCTCTTACTTCTATTATCTTTTCACTTTCCTCCATTTGCTTTGTTCTTGTCTTTCTTAGTTCTCTTTTAAATTCTTTCATCCCGAATCAATCCAAGATTTCTTTTTTCTTCCTTATTCTACCATTACTTTCCCAACTCCAAGAGATGCCTTTTCATCTTTTCCAAATCCTATTGGAAATTTAATAAAATGTCCTTTAATGTCTTTTAGTTCCTTTTTATCACCTATTAATGGTGGATAAAGATGTTTTTTACAGTCGACAAATTTACGATATTTATTAGATGGAAAGTAATCAAAGAGTCGTTCATAAACTTTTGTGTTTTTCTCACTAATAGGACAAATGACTTTCTCAATACTTTGAATAGGATCTTCCACCATTTGAATTTGAGACTCTTCTAGATTTAAATGTTCTGCCCAAATTCTACTTCTAAGATTTAATGCAAATTCATTAACAAATTTTCTTTCACCATTGATTGGTATTTGAATTTTATTGGAATCAACAATAATTGCTCCAATTTCACTGTCTCTTTCTCCTATAAGTGATCGATCATTAATATTAGCACTTCCAATAAAAACATATTGATCATCAACAATAATACATTTACTATGAACATAAATTGGTGATCCAACAATTATTTCTTTTCCTTCTTGTTTCTTTTTTCCAAATGTATAAAGTGTTAATATTTTCAGATATTCCTCTATATCTTTAATCCCTTCTTTTTTCATTCTTTCAATTAAACTTAATTTCCCACTTATAATTGTTTTTCTAAATAATCCCATAATAGATTTAACAATGATTGAATCTAATTCTCCTTCACTCCATATTGGAACTACAATAATTACTTTAAACTTTTCTTTCTTTCTATATGCTTCAATTATTTTATTCCCAATTATGAAACTTATTAAATTCCATATTCTTTTACTTCCATAATTTGAAATAAAAAATTGTTCTTCAATATAAATATAATGCTCCGCTCGTTCAATAATTCTAACTATTCCTTCATAACATCCTCTTTCTACTTTATATCTCCCTCCTGCTTCTTTTGAATTAGATCTAACTATTTGAACTGACATCGTCCCAACTATTTCCTTTATTCTTTCTTGTTGTTGTATTATTCTTTCTTCTACTTTACATATTTTATTCCATTTCTCTATAAAATTCCTTTCTATGTCATGAACTGCTGGTCCTTCTATTTTACAATGAATGTCATGCCATGGTAATCGGATCTTTTCTTTCTTTTCTTCCTTATTTATCATTGTATTATAACATTCTTCTTTAAATAGTTCTTCTCCTTTCTCTTCAATGTCAGCTTCTATAAAATGTCTTCTTGTATCCCACCTCCCTTGTGCTAAATCAATCCCTCCTAAAAATCCAATTTTATGATCAACAACTACAGTTTTCTCATGTTGACTATATCCCATCATCCATTTATGACAATAACACTCTATCTTCTCTTTTTCTTCTAAGATATTTCTCTTTTTTTCTCCTTTGACAACATCCATAAAAAATGGTGACTCATATATTATTATTTTAATACTTACTCCTTCTTCTCCTTTCTTCTCAAGTATTTCTTTTAATGTCTTTCCTTTTAGCCAATGTACTCCTCTTCTTATTAAAATTATCTCGGGGTCTATTCTCCAATCAGTTATATAGATACTCTCTTTCGCTTCATCTATACTCTCCCCTATCGCTTTCATCGCTTCTTCTCCATCTATAAGTCCTTTAACTCGATTCCCATTACTTGGCACACAAAAAACTGGCTTTTCTCTTACAAACACTCCTTTACTCCCTTTCTCTTCTATCTTCCTTACTATCTTTTCATCTTGTTTCTTGTGAAACACTCGAACTATTAATTTTTTCATCCCCTTTTCTTTCTCTTTCTCTTCTTTTATTTCCTTTGTCTTTTCTTCTCATCTTCTCTCTTTCTCACTCTTTCACTGCTTCTTTCTATTCCATGTCTTTAATCCACCAATCTACTCACAACTCTTCACTTTCTATCCTTTTATTACTTATTTCTTCTTTTAACTCATCCTCTTCTTTTATTCTTTTTTTTTTTGATACTCCTTTTCTTCTCATTGTATTATTTCTCTTTCTCCTTTCTCTAATTCTTCTCATCTCTTTTCTTTATTTTAATGGTTTTTCTTCTTCCCTCTTATTTGAAATTCTAAACATTACATCTCTTCTTATTATTATTCTTTAAACCTCTTTCTTTTATTTTTCTTCTTATTATTATCTCTTTCTTCGTTGTGTTAAATCCATTAAATGAAACTTTAAAACAATGACTTTTTTATGCAGAAGAGTCAAATAATAATATCAAAAGAATGAAGAAAAACAAATTTTAAAAAATTTTACCTTTTAGATTAAAATTTTTTATTTTTATTAAAAATGATCAAGACAAATGAATTAATCAACAACAACCAGCTTCTTCTTCACCAGCTTCTCCAGTTGCTGGATTTTGTTGAATGTCAACAGTACTATCTTCTTTGTTTTTTTGTTGATTAGAAGAAGTTTTTGGTTGTGAAATAGTTGGTCTTTTTTGCCTTTGGACAACATTAATGTCTTTAGTTGGGTCAAGGTCAATAATTCCTCCAGTCTTTTGTAATTCAGCAATGGCAGCTCCAAAGATTTCAGTAACACCTTCTCCACTAAACGTTAGTAATAATCAAATAAAACAAGAAATTTTGAACGACAAACTTCAAAGCAGAACATTCAAAATGTGTCATATTATTTCGTTTGGCGAAGAATTTTCCTTCATTTGAAGTGACTTGACGATTAGCGTTTTCATCCTTTTTACATCCTATTAAAAATTTAATTGTTTTATTTGACTCTCGTTGGACTTGTTCAAATTCTTTAATCCAATCTTCAACATGATTAAATGATTCTTTTTTTGTGATGTCATAACAAAATAACATGACATGTCTATTTCTAAAATAGGTTGAGGTTGTAGCTCTGAATACTTCTTGTCCAGCTGTATCCCACAATTGAATATTGTAAGACCTTCCATCAACATTCATTTTCTTACAAGCTACATCACAAGAAATTGTTGATTTTTCATTTTTACTGACTATTTATAAGTGTTGACTTTTCATTTGTAAATGACTACAAACATTGATCTTTAATAAAACGTTTAAAAATTCCTGTTTTTCCAACACTTGCATCTCCTAATTATAAACACTTGTTCACTTAATTTTTAATTGAACTAAAAACAAACCACATAAAGCAATAGTGATTAATACATTTCTTTCAGCCATGAGAACTGAATAATTAATACCCAGTTTTTTTATAAGATTCGTTTTAGAGTCAATAAAAAAATATGAAAAAATAAAAAACAAAAAAGAATAATATAAAAACGTCAAAAAACAAAATTTAATTTGATTTAATGATGTTAAACTTTTTTTGTTTTAAATGTTTAAGAGTTTATTTGATTCTTATTTTTTAATGAATGATTAATATTTTCTTTTATTAAAAAGAGGTAATAAGAACAAATTATCTTATTAGTATTGTTTATTTTCAAAAATTGAAGAGAAGAGAGTAAGATATTATTATTCTGTCTCAAATCAATATTTTAGAAAAATTCAAAAAGAAAAATAATTCCAATATAATAAAAGTAATTTATTTATCCATTGCAAAATAATTAACATATTACTTAATATACTTTTATTCTTTATTATCATATTTTAGCCATTTCATATATTAATAATTTTGGTTGTAAAATAGTAGAATAACCAAAAAAATTTAAAAGTTATTTAACTTGTAGTATAAAATACTAAAAAATTGTAATACATTGAAATTAATTTATTAATTAACCTTTTTTTATTCAATTAAATTAAAAAATTATGAAATAAGAGTTAACTATGAATTATTTTGTTATGTGTTATGCGTTATCTTTTGAATAAATAAACATTAAAAAGGACAAATTGACTAATACTTATTACCCAACCATTTTTTTGTTTTGTTTAAGGAGTAATAATTAATAAACATATTTTAAAAACTTCATTCATCAACTTTTAAATAATCAATATTAATGAAATGAAAAAAGAAAAACATTTAATATAAAATAAAATATTAATTAACATTTTATATGTTTCATTAATTTTAGACGTTTATATTCTTTTATTAAAAACATTTTCTTATTCATCACTTGCTTCTTCGATTTTCATTGACTCAGAAGAAGTGTTTTCTTCTTCACTTTCTTGTGGAGAATATGAGTCATTATCGTCGCTTTCTTTCTTTTCTTCTGTTTTATTTGTATTATCTTTATCCTCTTTATCTTCTTCTTGTTTTTCTGCCATTTCGATCTGTGTTCCATTCATTACAGCTCTTTCTTCTTCAGTTGGAAGTCTTTTAGCAAGACATCTCTTTGTAATTTTCATAATTGCAATTGAGCAAACTGTGTAAATAATAACTGCTACAAATAATAACCAACACCCTCCTTCAAGATTGGCTTTAACTTCAAAACATGTTTCATGCCCATTAATAAGTTCTTCTTCTCCAAAGAACTCTGCTACAATATCATCAATACTAGCTCCAAGTTGTGGAATTTTAGCTGCACAATATGGTTCAACCATAAATGATGCAAATTGTGATAATTCAACAATAGCAGCAATAACTGAAACTACAAAAACATCAATACATGACCATGCATATAATACTTCACAACAATGATATAAGAAACTTTGGAATCGTCGTTGTAATGGTGCAAACCATAATACAAATAATGATATCATATGAAGAATTGGTAAGACAATAATTGTCATGAAATATACTATTTGAGTTATTCTAACAGCAAAACTATTTGGTTCTCTAGTAGCACCTGGAAGTTGTGTTCCAAGATCAACAACAGAGAATTCTCTTCGTGGAGATTGTCCTAGAATAGCTAATGCCCATCCTGCAAGTCCTAAGAAATCAAATGAGAACGAAATTAAGAACATACCAACTACTAATAATACAAATGAAATAAATAAGAAAATTGGTACAATGATCTTTGTAACTAAGAATCTACAATAAAAGAATAATGGCCTCCACTTATGTCCATCTTCTCCATGATTACTTTGTTTGTCATGAAGAACTACATTATGTACCCCTACAACAACATGTGACATAATTAATGATGCAATAGTTCCTAACATCAATGTAACAAATCCATATGCTGGATAAACATATAAATTGATCTTGACTGGATCATTAATAGATTCTGGATGTCTTATTGGTAATGGAATATCAAAGTAAAATGCAACAATCATCAATACCATAACATATGAATCAAGCATAGACCATTTACCTAATGCATCTAATACTTTTAAAATAATACCTCTTACTTTAGGAACAACTAATGTTGATGGCATAAACCATGTGAATAATAAAATTACTAATTTGGTATAAGGCCAAATTCCAGAGAATACCATAATTAAAACAGCAAGTGGATATACTCCAGCTGTCCACATATCTTCTACTGAATTCATTAACCCAAAATCAGAAACTGGCATTGTAATAACTTGACCACTTCCAATTGAGATATATGCATTAACTGTAGCTCCTGTACCTGTATTAGATGTAATAAATAATGCAATATTCAAAAGAATTAAGAATGGCATAATAACTCTAATCACAATATTAACACGAGGATGAAGGAATAATGATGCTCCTTTTTCATCTGTTCTTAACCATTGTTTACAGAACCATAATGGGAATGATTTTAATCTTTGTAAAAATGGTTTCTTTTCTTTTTCTCCTTCACTTGATGAATCACTTTCTTTACTTTCTCCTGTAGTTGTTACAGATGACTCTTCATGATTCTTTCCAAATCTCCATTTAACAACTAAAACAATAATTGCAATAGCACATAATATAATAGATAATACAACTGCAATTGAAATTGTTGATGCCACAATAACTGGTTTATACTCTTTTACTTCAGGATCAGGATTTTCTTCACAAGTAGCATTTAAATTATCATTAAGGTAATCATTAATAAAACCAGTTCCAAGATTATTGACCAACCCATTTAAGAATACAGGAATAACTGCTTTATATCTATTAATAAATACATCAGCAACAGAATTAATTAAACTTTGAACCCCTCTATCTAAATCACTTGTTGCATCAGGTGATCCAGCATTTAAGTGTAAAGAATCCAATGATGTATTAAATTGAAGGTATGGAATACCAGTACCATTTTGGAATAATGCTAACCAACAAGTAATATTAGTGCATTGGTTATTTGAATACTCCTCAAATTGTCCTTCTGGAATAGCGACTTGAACTCTTCCTTCCATATAATTATCAGTTACTTTAATGTATAAATTACCTTCTTCATGTAATACCTCTCCTTCCATATCTAATGTAGTACTATTAGAAGTAATATTAAGTGCAAATGTTATATTAATTTCTAAACGATCAAGGGCAGATGAAAGTTTTAATTGTTGATCACATGTATCTAAAGTATTACAAATTGATTGATTTGTAGCAGGATCAATAGTATTTCTTAATGGTTCAAAGAATTCCATTTTACTACAAGTATTTAATCCACTAATATTAAAGAATGTAATTCCTAAATCTAAAGTAGCATTAAGATCACCTAAATCAATATCATTGAAAGTTAATAACTCTACAATTAATGGAGATAATTCTGAGAATGTATCATTATTATTTGATCCAACAACAATATTTCCTGTATTTTGTGTGAATCTATTAATTAAATTATTTAATCCAAGTGAAGTATTACCTCCAAGTAAATAAGTTGTTGCCCAAGAAATCATATCAAACATTGAACTTTCAGTTATGTTCATCATTCCTTCTGGAACAGGAATATATTGAGGATCAAGATTACCAATATATGGTTTAATATAATTATCATTGACATTAACAAATAAATCAGTTAAAGCAGTATTTACTGATTCTTCAATGTTAGACATTTGACTCTCAAGTACTTTAGGAACAATAGTATCAAGAAGTCCATTAGCTATATCAACAGTAGTTTTAATCCACCAACAAGTATGGTCAGTAAAAAATCCTCCATCATAACATGTACAAACAACATTTTCAAAAGATATTCCATCATAAACAGTTATTTTAGTAAATACTTTTTTAACAATATTATATCCTAGATACTCTTCTGTTTCAAAATCAAGAGTTATACTTACTTTAATATTTTTAACAACAAATTCCATTTCACCAACTTCTGCATCAGTGTCTTTGTATAACCAAAAAACAGCTTTAGCATATATACTATTTACTCCAACATTAACTGTTAATGATTGTGGATTTGTTACATTATCTTCTGTAGTAGTTAATTCACCAAGTTCAATTGAATTAATATTTATTGATTTAAAACACATTTGAGCAGTTCCAATATCACTAGCACATGCATCATTTCTACCAAGTTCTATTGTAAGATTAAGTTTCTTTAATAAACATCCAAGGTCACAATGCTCTCCTTGATAAAGTTGAGCAAAGGACTGATGAGTAAAGAGAAGCAAAACAATAATGAAGAATGATGCAACCATTTTAATTAATGATTATTTGTAAATTATTAATTCAAAACATTCTTTTATATTCAAGTAGGCAGGCAAATATTCTTTTCTTTCCTTTTTTATATCTTCTCTCATTTCTATTTGACATTTTTCCATTCTTTTTTGATAGGCATTTCCTTTAAGAAAATAATCTTCACCTATATTCCTTCTAAATTTAAAATTTTTCGTTAATTCACTACTATTTTATCGGGATATTTTTTTGTTTTTATTGATTTATCCAAAATATTTGTTGTTTCTTATGCCTATCTTGATAGTTTTTTTTTTTCTTTTTGATAATACCCTAAAATTTTCCATAAACTGTAAAAAATAATAGAAGAGACATTATTTTATTTTTATAGAATAATTTATTTATAATTTATTTTTTGTTAAACACAAACAGGCAATGAAACAACTTTTTAATATCTTATAACTTTGAAAATTAATTATTCAAGTAAAATTCTTATAATAAATAAAGTAATAAAAAGAAAATTCAATAATTCTTTATTTTTCTGTAGTACTTGGAATAATAATAGCAAGAAGAGTGTCTTTCTCTACTTTTGAGTCTTCACATGCTACTATTTTTTTAACAATACCATCAAATTGGGCACCAACAGTTATTTTCATTTTCATTGCTTCTACTGTCATTATAGGTGCTCCTTTTACAACTTCATCTCCTTCTTTAACAAATACTGTTCCAACATTTCCTAATAATGGTGATGCTAAATGAGTAATATTCTTTTTATCAGCTGGTTGAAGTGTACATCTTTGTCCTTGAGTTTCATTTACTTTTACATCATGTCTACAACCATTGGCAACAAATGCTAATGACCTAGTATCTTCAAGAGTTAAAGGTCCAACTCTAATTAATTTGATTGTTACATCTTCTAAGTTATCAGGATCAATAGAATATACATTAATAGTTTGATTAATATTCATTCCATATAAAAATACTAATGTTGGTAATGTAAGTAAATAATCTCCACCATATTTCTTATAAAATTCTAAATAAGCTTCAAATTGTTTTGGATAAAGTCCATAACTAACTACTTCTTCTATTTTAAAAACTCTTCCATATTTGTTTTGTAAATAAGTCTTTGCCTGACTGAAATCCATATCAACTAACTTTTCATTTACTTTAATAACTTTATTCTTTCCTAACACCCTTTCAATAAATTTCTCTGGAAATCCTCTATGTGGATATCCTAATTTACCTGAAGCTAATCCAACTACACTCTCTGGAAATTCAATTGGTATGTCTGGATTTAATACATCTTCTGCTTTTAATCCTTTATTAACTAAAAAGAGAGCAAGATCTCCTACTACTTTACTTGATGGTGTTACTTTGATAATATCTCCTAATATTTTATTAACATCTGAATACATCTTTGTAATTTCATCCCATCTCTCCCATAATCCAAGTGCTTTGCATTGGGCTTGTAAATTACTGTATTGTCCACCTGGCATTTGATGATCATATACTTTTGTAGTTCCTCCTTTCATACCACTTTCATTAGTAAAGTACAAACTTCTAATATTTCTCCAATGAGAATCAAGTCGTTCAAGTTTTCGGTAATTAATTTGTGAAGCCCTTTCACTTCCTTCAATACAAGCTAAAAATGCTCCCATTGAAGGTTGTGATGTACAGTCACTCATTGCTGGTAATGCAACATCTACACCAGCAATTCCAGCTTCTGTTAAGGCAATAAGAGTGTTAATAATTGTTCCACTAGTATTATGTGAATGGAAGAAAATAGGAAGATCAGTAACTTCTTTCATTGCATTCATAAATGGTTTTGCCATTTGTGGTTTAAATAAACCAGCCATATCTTTAATTGCAATACAATGTGCACCTATTTCATTAATTTTTTTAGCTACCTCTTTATAATAGTCTAATGTATATATATGTTCATCAGGAGATAAGAAATTACCTGTGAAACAAATACAACATTCTGCAATCTTTTTAGCTTCCTTAACAGCTTTTACACATGTAACCATTGAACTAACGTCATTAAAACAATCAAATATTCTAAATACATCCATTCCATTCTTAGCAGCTTGGAATACAAATTCTTTAATAAGATTATCTGGATAATTAGTATATCCAACTGCATTTCTTCCACGTAATAACATTTGGAACAAAATATTTGGTATTCTTTTTCTTAATAATCTTAATCTTTCCCATGGAGACTCATGTAAGAAACTATAACATACATCAAAAGTAGCACCTCCCCACATTTCCATTGAAAATGCATGATCTAATTGACAAGAATGTTCTTCTGCAACACTTAACAAATCGGCTGTTCTAACTCTAGTAGCTAATAATGATTGTTGAGCATCTCTCATAGTAGTATCAGTAATTAGTACTTCTTTTTGATTTCTAATCCACTCAACAAGAGCATCTGGTCCTTGGTTATCTAAAATACATTTGGGACTATCAACTCTTGCTTTTTCAATTATTTTTTCTGGTTCAAGACGTTTAATAACAAAACAATCTGATGGTACATTTTTATTTCTTAAACTGATGTTTGCATTAACAGTCACATCTGCAATGAAGTTAATAAGTCCAGCTGCATTTCCTGATTGTGTTGTAATTATTTGTTGTGGAGTTGCAACTGGTTTATATGATGCAATTGGTGCAGGAGTAGCTCCACCTAAACGAGGAACAGGGGAAGAATTCTTTGGAGTAGGATTACAATGCCCATAAATTCCCATTAATCTAAATTTCTTTGATCGAGTCAAAACAAGTTCAGAAGGTTCCATTTTTAATAGTGTTGTTAAAGAATTAGTTATAAACTCATTAACTCTCTTTAATAAAATTGGACAATTATCATATGTTTCTTTATCTACTTCATCAATAATTTCATCAATAACTCCAAGCCTTTTAAGGTCAACACAATAAATTTGTTGTTTTTGAGAAATTTCTTCACAATCATGATGGAATCTATTGGCTTTGTCTTCATCTGAACTATATCTACATAAAATACTTGCAGCCCCTTCTGGTGTAATAACTCCATAATATCCTCCTGATAACATTCCAATAATATTTCCCATAGCAATACCTAATGCACCACCACTTCCACCTTCTCCTACCATAACAGTTATAATAGGTACTTTTAATCCAGCCATAGTTAATAATGAAGTAGCAATAGCTTCAGGTTGTCCTTCAATTTCACTTTCAAATGATGGATAAGCACCAGGAGTATCAACCAATGTAATAACAGGAAGAGCAAATTGTTCAGCTAATAACATCAATCTTGTAGCAGTTCTATATCCAGCAGGAGATGCCATACCATAATTTGATTCAATCATTTCTTGAGGATTATGTCCTTTTCTTGTAGCAATAACTACACACGGATAATTATGATATAAAGCAATTCCACCTCTTATACATTTATCAGCACCTTGTTTTCCATCTCCACGTAATTCAATGAATCCATCAAATAAATGTTCTAATATATCAATAGCTTGTACTCTTGTATCAGTTCTTGATGTGGTGTATGAAAATTTTCTTTCAATAGTTCCACGTTTTTCTACTTCTATAGGTTTATCAATCATAACTCCTGTTTGTTTAGCTTTGAGTATTCGAAGTATATTACTAACAGTTGAATCAATATCATCTTGTTGTACAACCAAATCAACTTGTCCATGGTCATGAAGAAATTGTGCACTTTGAAATCCTTTTGGACATGCCTTATCAAATGCTTCTTGATCCATTCTATAAACAGTATTTAAAATAACTTTTTCACCTGCAAATCCAATTCTTCCTCCATAAACTCCAATTCTAATATCTGATTGCATAGCATAAGATGCTGTTGTTCCACCAAATGTAGGGTCTTGGAAAACTGTAATAAAAGGTAAGTGTTTACTTTTAAATGCACGTACAGCTACACTAACTTTAGCCATTTGCATTAAAGATAATGTACCTTCTTGCATACGAGCACCTCCAGATCTTATTTCAATAATAACAGGTAGTCCTTCAGAACTAGCATACTCAAATCCCCGTGATAATTTTTCACCTTCAGCACATCCTAATGAACCACCAATAAAGTCAAATTCATGTCTCATCCAAACTACTTTAATTCCCTATAAATGTGATTACTTTTTTACTTATTTCTTTTTTAATTCATTTGTATTAAATTTAATAGTAACAAACATTTATATATCTAATTAAACATGTAACTCCACATACTAAACCAGAACGTTTAAATGCATCTTTTAATTGTTGGCTATAAGCTTTAGAGCCAAATGAAAAATTAAGAAAATCTACAGATGCAATTTCTTGAAACAATTCTTGCTCTTGTTCCATTTAAATCTTTAATTAATTATTAAGTTCTTCTTCTTTTTATTTTTATTCTTCTTCAATAGTAGATGAACTGAGACAAACATATAACTTTTATAATTTAATTTATTATATTTATAGTTTTTTGATTTTTTTTTTCAAATTTGGATGATTTAGTTTCGTTATTTTAAAGAATTTGAAAAATTTTGAAGAAAATAGAAAAGATAATTAATAAACACCTTTTGATTTGTTTGAATTTGATATTCATATTTTATTTATTGTGATATACTTTTATTTTTTATGTTTTTCATTTTTTATTTTATGAAAAAAAATTTATGTTTTATATAACGATAAATGAGAATAACCTAAAAGAGAAGAATTGAATAATGGACGAAAAAGATACTTTAAAAAGAAGGAATGACATTTGTTATAGTTAACAGAATGGAGATGAGATGAAGTGATCTCTTGTAGAGAAAAGTATAACACAAAAAGAAGAGATTAGAGCAATAGGGTTTATTAAAATGGACAAAAAAAGAAAAAAACTTCAAAATCATTCACGACGATATGCAGCAACAAAAACCAGATCCTATTATGCAATTATGGAATTGTTATTTAAAAGAATACGTTCCAATAATTCCTGTATTACAAGAAGAGATACATGAATTTATTTTTAGGCTAAATAAAGAATTATTAAAAAAAGATTATATTTCATTAA